TTATACATAACTAATTTAACTAACAAATTAAAATAGTAAATTAATAACTAAAGATATTAAGGGTTGAAAACTAAATCAAGGAGGTCTAGTGTTATGATTTTCCCAATTGTCGGAATCCTTCCCGCTACGTCTTCTATAATTTCGCCTAATTAAGTATTCTTTATCGATCGTGAGTACTTTGGATGCGTAGATCTCTCTCGAGCAACTATCACAATTTACTAGACGTATTCTCTCGAACTACGCTAGCTGGCACTAATTCACCTCTCACTACGATCGCACCAAGGTTTCGTTATCTCTAATCCTGCCTTTAAACCCTCTGTATTGATCTCTCACATACGTTAAGAGTGATGTTGTTCAACAACTACCTAAATGTGTACTCTCTCTCTCTCTCTCTCTCTCTCTCTCTCTCTCTCTCTCTCTCTCTCTCTCTCTCTCTCTCAATATACACACTAAATAGGCACATTGAATTGTTGGCCATTCAATCAATAACAATAAATAGAGAAATTCAACGGCTCAATTATATAAAAACGTCACAAGAATTTATCCTACAAAAGGTTCCATCAAAACCCTAGATAACAAATTAGCTATTCATAATAGTATGCAAAATTAGAATACTAGAATACATACCAATAATAAAAATAGGAAGAAGAAAGTGAAAAATACGTAGAAGAATTCTCCGCCTTGCTCCTAGCGTGTTCTTGCCTCATTGGGTCGAATCCCCTCTCCAAAAACATCTCTCTCTCCAACTCCTCTACAAAAAATGAGGTTATAGACTATTTATACGGGATAGGGTTAGTATGTGGCGAAATAATACAAGCCCACTTCGAAACAGCCTTTTTAGGTTAGCTCGTTCACTCTCTCGTGCGCATGCGAGAGTGAACGAGCGAAGTTCTTCTCTTTTTCTTTTCCTTCTACGTCTCTCGTGCACTTCCATGCCTTTTTTTCCATAATCCGTTGTTTTTTCTCAAGCTTTTTCACTCTCTCATGTGCACGCGTGAGTGAACGAGCAAAGTCTTTCTTTTGTCTTTTGGTCCCGAAACAACTTCTTTTGCTTACATTTCATCCAACTTGCTCCTACACATAAGAATGTACGTAATGAGCGTAATTCACTACAAAAACTCATGCAACCTACCATAACCACACAAGTTATGATATGAAAGTACACAGAAAAATATGCATTTTTGGCCGTTTATCACAGCGCCAATCAATTTCAGCCAATTTCCGCGATGAGTGTTAAGTACTTCGAATAATAGTTTGCAGGATTTCTAGAACAGGAACCGGCTGTTTCTTTGAACAGTGGATTGGTCTTCAATTAATAGTTTGCAGGATTTCTAGAATAGAAACAAACAGACTTTTTCTTTGAACTTTGGATTGATCTTCAATTAATAGTTTGTAGGATTTCTAGAATAGGAACATGATTTTTCTTTGAAGTGTGGATTGGTCCTTACTATTTACTCACTCTGTTTCAATTTAGATGAGGTAGTTTGACTCGATATGGAGTTTAAAGAAAAAAAGACTTTTAAAACTTGTGGTCTTAAAAGACTAAGGGGTAAAAGCTTTGTGAGGCCATGACATTTGTGTAGTTATAAAAATTTCTCATTAAGGATAAAATTGGTAAAATGAAGAGTTTAAAGTTGAATTATTTTCAATTGTAGAAATGTGTCATTCTTTTTAGAACAAACTAATAAGGAAAGTGTGTCATATAAATTGAAACAACGGGAGTACTATTTATAGGCCAATAGAGACACGTTTTTTCTAACAGTCATTTTAACAAACCATACTTTCATGAAAAATCGCACCCTTTCAAGTGATACCTTTTTGAAATATCATTTCAAGACATGGTTACACGAGCTAGCATAGGTCTTGCGGGTTTGGCTGAAATTTGTAATTTTTGCCCAAACCTTATATTTTTCTTAAGATATTCATTGATTATGTATAAATTATTAATTTAAAATACAGTAACTTAAATGGACTGGAATCCCGATCCCATAAGATTCAAATTCTGGCTCCGCCTCTGATTACACATGTCATCAACCATGTGAAATGTGTTATAACTACTATACAACAACATCAACAAACCCAGTATAATCCCACAAGTGAGGTTTGGGGAGTGTAGTGTGTACGCAGACCTAATGGCGGATCTAGAGTGTTGTTACTGGTTTCCCCGGAACCCTGTACCTTTTGCATAGACGTTGTATTTCTACTAAGAAGTCCTCTAAATATTTATAAATATCTAATTGTGAACCCAATTATTATTGTATATTCTTTTGAAATTATAGTAGGAACCCATAAACTTCAAATTTTGGATCCGCTTTTGCGCAAACCTTACCCCTATATTCAGAGTGGAGAGGTTCTTTCCAATAGACCCCGACTCAAGGAGTTATAACTACTATACAACAAATCAAATGTAACAAAGATCAGAAAAAAAGGAGGTTCTTCATATTGGCAGCTCACACATACTAATTTTTAGTTGTCCGCAACTTTATATCATCGCTAATCGAACTATTTTAGCTTTAAGTTCTATCAAACGTAGCAATTTAAACCTCAGGATTTGCATTTGCACAAGTGTTGGGGACCCTTTTGAAGTTGCTACTAGAGTATAAGAGAGAACGATAACTGGAGTACTTTTTTTTTTTCTAATTTCTCACCCGGTATCCGATACCAACATTGGGGCCCGACTAATCTGGATTCGCGCCGGGAAATCTCACATTTGGGGGTAAAACGCTCCCTAACAAAAGGTACTCTATACTCAGGGACTCGAATTCGAGACCTCTGGTTAAGGATGAAGGAATACATACCACTCCACGACAACCCTTGTTGATCTTAACTGGAGTACTTGCAACCGAGGTCAGTTCGATTGCGAGTAAATTAACAAATGCTTGTCGAACAAACATCATTTGATTAAATCCGAAAGTGAATTATAAAGAACTATGAATAAACTTATTGTTAGGTTTAAAATTATTACTAAAACACTAAACCCTTTGAAGGACATGAGAGGGTCGGAGTTGATTTATTTTGGGTCCAAATATACCCTTGTACTATGAGAAAATATTTAAATATATTCCTTGCTATATTTTTAGTCCAAATATATCCCTGCTGTAATAGTATTAGTTTAAATACAGGGGCGGACCTAGAGCATGGAATAAGGGTACTCGGGAACCCAATAACTCTTGCGTAAACCCTGTATTAATATTAAAAAATTCACTAAATATTTGTAAATATCTAACTGTGAACCCAGTTACTATTGCATATTAATTTAAAATTACAGTAGGAACCCATAAGCCTCAAATCCTGGATCAGCCTCTGTTTAAATGTAACCCTCTTCCGTTAAGTTTGTCCAAAGTGAACATCCAATCCTATGTGGCACTGGCATTTGAAGAGATGGATGCCACGTGGCATGCCACCTGTGTTCCTAACCCATTTTACCTCTCCCCTCTATTTGTTTTTCTACCACTAAAATTTTCTTCCATGACAATATTGAATTTCACTCAAATGGTGATATTAGAAGAGTTTGATAAGATAAGTGGATAATGGTGGAACTCTCCTGTCTGAGTACTTGGCAACTTGCCCTTCACTCTAAACTCTATATAAATAGAGGTAGCAGGTCAATTTTTCAATTTTCAAAGCAGCTAGCAGTGTAATTATATTGAATCTAATGTGAGCATTAGTGGAGAAACAAACATATATAAAAGACTAAACTTCGAATACAATATTATTTAGGGTGACGGTAATGACGACAATCGTAGTAGAGGAGAAAAAAAATTTAGTGGTGGAAAAAAAAATAAAAAGAAGGGATAAAATAGGTTAAGGGCGCTAAGGTGGCATGCCACGTGGCATCCACCTCATCAAATGTCAGTGCCACATAGAATTGGATGTCCACTTTGGACAAACTTAACGGAAGAGGGGTATATTTAAACCGATAGTATAACAGTAGGGGTATATTTAGACCCAAAGTATAACGAGTGGTAAATTTAAATATTTTCTCATTGTACAGGGATATATTTGGCCCTTTTCCTATAATTTATGAGAGGTAATTTAAAATATAGCACCTTTACATAAATAGCCACTGGGTTTCACTATTTACTTTCGTAGCCAATAAATATAGGTTATATTATATTATACATGAAGTACAATTGAGATATAAACTCCTCAAGATCAACCCAATCTTATTGAAATTTGAAACAAACACCTAATCTAGACGAATAATAATTTGGCAAAATTCAATTTCCCACTCGAGCTTCAAAGGAGTTTTGTTCTTCTCCTCAAGTTCCAAGCTCAAGTTCTTTCACATAGAATATAATGCTTATATCACCTATTTAATTTCTTTGGCAAATGCAGATCCCCTCCAAATCCAATAGTAGATTGTGCAAAAACAATATGGAAGCTCAACCTTAATGAGATAGCACGTTATGAACATTTGCAAATAGTAAAAGTGTTTCATACACGACACGACAGCCCGGTGCACGAAGTATCCTGTATTCATGCAGGGACCGGAGAAGGGCCGCACCTCAAGGGGGTGTTATATAGGCAGCCTACCCTAATGCAGGCATTAGTGGCTGATTCCATGGCTCAAACCCGTGACCTATAGGTCACATTTAGACAACTTTACCGTTGCTCCAAAGCTCCCTTACTGAAAAAGAGTTTCATAAAAGGGCCTAAAATAACATTTCAACCGGAGGAAATGTCTCTTCTCCCTTTCCATGCGTCCTGTTCCTCTCCCAGCAGACTAATCACCTAGGGATCCGCCTTTATTATATGGTCAATATCGATCTACTTTATTAGATTATATGGACGTAGAAAAATAAATGGCAACCAACTAGTTTCACACTAGGAAAACAAGATTCGGAGCAACGATCCGAATATTTTAAAAATATCTTTGAGAAAAGGTTTTAGCACTTGTGTATGCTATACATACTCAAGTTTATTTAAAGTATCCAAATTGTGTAACACAATCGAAATTCTTAGGAAAAAAAAAGACAACAATAAATAAGCGACTAACGAGAAATAAAAAGAAACTTATTATATTTGATCTCTAAGTCGTACATATACATAGCAATCCTACATCTAAAGTACATAATCAGATCAAAAAGGACAATTCGGTGCACTAAGCTCCCGTTATGCGCGGGGTCCGGGGAAGTGCCGGACCACAAAGGTCTATTGTACACAACCTTACCCTGCATTTCTGCAAGAGGCTGTTTCTACGGCTTGAGCCCCTAATCTCCTGGTCACATGGAGGCAACTTTATCAGCTACGCCTAGGCTCCCCTTCAAATTACATAATCAGACCACTCAGATAAATATGAAGTATGATCCATAGTCAAACTAGGAATTTTATCAAGCTTAATTGGATTTGCTTTCCCACCAATCAATCTAGCTGGATTTCCAACAGCAGTTGTTCTTTCAGGAACTTCCATTAACACAACAGAACCAGCACCAATTTTAGCACCATTTTCAATTCTAACATTTCCAAGAACACAAGTCCCTGCACCTATTAATACACCATCACCAATTTTTGGATGTCTATCACCACTCATTTTTCCTGTACCACCTAATGTTACATTATGTAAAATTGACACATTATTTCCTATTATTGCTGTCTCACCAATTACAACTCCAGTTGCATGATCTAATAATATTCCTCTACCAATTCTTGCTCCAGGATGAATATCAACAGCAAATACTTCACACACTCTATTTTGTATTACTAAAGCTAAAATCTTTCTCCCTTTAGACCATAATTTATGTGCTATTCTATGTGCTTGACATGCTAAAAACCCTTTAAAATTCAAGAAACAATGTATATAACTAATACAAGCTGGATCTCTTTCTTTAACAGCTCTTAAATCAGCATTAACATCAAAAATCAATTCTTGATCCTCTGTGAGCACCCCCATGAAAAGATCATATAGAGTTTCACTAGAAATACTTGAATTGCTTAATTTCATTGAAAGATGATTAGCTAAAGCACTTTCTATGGAATCATGAACCAAGATTGAATTTTTATAGTAATTTGACAAAAGGGGTTCTTGCTCAATATCTAACCTTGCCTCTTTTTGCATTTTTAGCCACAAATCATCATCTTTTGCAAAATTGTCCAAAATTGTATGGTTCAAGATGGTTTTTGGCTGTTTTTCTGAAATGGGTGTTTGAGAAACAGGATTTGGGAAATTGGGTGTGCAGTATTTAGTATAGTTGTTGTAGATATGATCATCAATTTTGGGCTCACAAGAATGTAAACAAGCTCTAATGGTGAAAGTGGAGAGTTTATTACAAGGAGAAATTACATTCTTGAAAAGAGGTGGTGGTGATCCGAGGAAATTAGTGGACATTGAAGCAAAGTGTGCGTAGGAAAATATGTGGCGGCGAGGAAAGAAAGAGAGATACAAAGAGAGAGAAAGAGAAAGCAGTGGATATGGCAAAGCCTATGAAGAAAGAATAAAATGAGTTATTTTGTAGTAATGATTATTCTTTTGTCCTATTTCTAAGTTACACCCTTCCACTTTCTAAAATTTGTGCTTCAATACAAGTTATAAATATCTTTTTTATTTTTCACCCAGTGTTGGGTACTCGTATTGAGGTAAGAGGCGGATTCAAAATTCAACGGTTGCGGGGCACTATGACATTCATATAAATTTATCACTGCTCATAAAGATGGTACGGGAACCTATGCTTATATTTGACTATTTTTCGAAAATATTTACAAGTTTATATCGAGTTTTTATCGAAGTTTCCGGGTGCCGGTGACCCCTTAACTCATCATGTGAGTCCACCTCTGATTGAAGTCCGACTAAATCCAAATTCGCGCCGAGAAGTCCCACATTAATTAATAAAGCACTCCCTAATCAAGACGTCTCTATACTCAGGTCTCGAACTCGAGACCTTTCGCTTGGTGCTTGATACCTATTTTGGGCTCGACTAATCTTGATTTATAAAGTGACAGACGCTCCCTATCAGCTTTTTTCCATATTCAGAGCTCGAACTCGAGACCTCTAATTAAGGGTGAAGGAATTCTATCTAGCCCACCATAACCTTTGGTGGTAGTAATAAATATTTGTATGGCTATAAATTATCTCATAAGGTAAAATGAGAAGTTTAACTTTAATTTTGTTTAATTATATTTAAAAAGTCATTCTAGAGAGACTAAAAAGAGAAATATGTCCCTTAAATTCAACATGGGAAGTTATAAGAATATTAGTATTTGAAGTGCATTTGTTATTCTGGAGATCAAATATTAATTACAAGAATAAGAATATATACATTTTATTCAATAAAAAGTCTTGCCAAAATTTAGTAGCAAACTAATATCTACCAACTAACGCAAATGGAAGTTGATCAAGATTTTTATAGTATCAAACTATTTACAGTTTAGACTAGTTTTTAGTACATTTTATTAAAAAGAATATACTAAATACTGGTTGAATACTCAAATACAAAAATGAACTACCACAATCACTTGCTTTTTGTTGCAGGAGATGAAAGTGACTTTATATTTATTAATTCTGACTAGTTATATTATATGTGTTGGACCATGCCTCTCCACTTTTTCTTTCCACGATAATTAATTTCGCAAAATTTTCTGGTAAATTTGGACCATTTATTGCATAAATAAAAGACAAATTTTATCATATTTTCTCGTAATTAAAATCTCATAGATTGGAAAGCTTTCGGTGTTAGTGAATAAGAGCATATTTGGACCAAACTCTCTAATGGTAGGAGTATATTTAGTAAAAATAGCACGGTATAGCCAGTTTTGGACTGGTCAATCAAAAATAGCCAGCGTTTACCAAGTCAATGAAAAATAGCCACCGTTGCTGCAATAGAGACCGGTCCAGCATAATATACTGGAGTTCGGTGTACTTGTGTATGAACTCCAGCATATTATGCTGGACCGGTATACTTTGCTGGCTCCAGTATAATATATTGGAGACTGGAGCACTGGTGCTCCAAACTCCAGTACATTATACTGGACCAATATACTTGCTGGAACTCCAGTATATTATGCTGGAGTTCTAGTGTACTTATGCTGGAACTCCATCATATTACGCTGGAGTTCCAGCATACTATCCTAGAACTCCAGTATAATATGCTGGAGTTCAAGTATACTTATGCTGGAACTCCAGCATAATATACTGGAGTATTTTCCGGGTTTTGAACAGTGTTTTCGCTCAGATTTATCTTTACATAAAAAGTGGCTAAATTTCGATTACTTTTGAAATTGGGCTATTTTTGAACGACCAGTTGTAAATCTGGCTATTTTTAAATTTCTCCCGTATATTTAACCCAAACAATGACAAATCTGAACCATTTCGCAAATTTAAAGGATAAATTTGGACCTTTCTCCTTAAATAAATTCAAGATATTTTAGAATTGTTATAAATAGAATTTTATTTATGGTGAATGTCTATATTTAGAGAGATTCTAGGGTTTATTACTTGGTGGCTAAGTCACCCTCTCCTTATAAATAGAGGGTTTTATTCCATTGTAATTCATCCAAAAATCAATAAGAATTCTCTCTCTACTCTTCTTTGTAATACTCTTCTTCTTCATTTATTATTTTATAACACGTTATCAGCACGAGACTCTAACCAATTGAGTAGAAGCTTTGAGATTGAGCATAATGATTGTCAATTATTCCATGAACTTCCTTCATGATTAAATTCTGGATTTAAGGTAAGTATTTTACCGTATTTTTCTCTTTTATTCTATACTTTGATTTTAAATACAAGCAAAGACAACAAAGTTTGATTATAACTCTAATGGAGTTTGTAAGAAATTATAACCACCTGAAGTGGTAAAATTTATATGCCTCGCCATGATCAAATTCATGTATGATTGTGGGCAAAGAATTGAAAACTCGTCCCATTGAATTTGCTCCATTCTCATTCCCTTAAGAGAATGTGATAGCAGTATGTGATAAGTCTGAAAGAAGATAAAATTATTACTATGAATGCATCGATGGATATGGACGTGGCAATAGACGAAATTATAATCGTCATCATTTGTGGTAATGAGAACAATAAGGATTCTCAAAATAATCTTTCACTCTGTGAAAAATATTTGTCATCGATTTGACATGAGATTTTGTAAAGCACATATAGATGATTATGGTCCATTCATGATGTGAATGTGACAACATCTGATTTATGAATACATATTCATTCTTCAAAGAATATGAACGTGCTAGTGGTAGTGAATATACCGCACTCACCTCTAAAAGGAGGTTTGAGGTGATATAAGAAAATAATGTTATTATTATGGCATGAATGATCATTGGTCACGTACCTATTGTACGCCAAAATATTTTGGCATTGTGATTGTTAAAAGACAACGGTAATGCAAGAAACAGATCTTGCATATAATTTTGACCATAACCATAATGGTATAACTTTCTCTTTAAAAGAGATATTCACCATATGGGTGTTGATTAATATGTGGTACTACAAAATTAATTGAGAACTCTGCAAGAGCCAATTATACTATTTTGGAGAAACACAATTAATTACCAATAAGGTATTGTGTTGTAGTAAGTCTCAAAGAAACTTATTCAGTTTCGAAAGTATACGCGAAAGCGGTTGGTTATATTGAGACTATAAATAAAGGAAAGATTTAATATCTTCTATTACTACAACTTGTAGCGGGGTAATATGTATGTGAAAAGCTACCCGCTTTATTCTCCAATTTGTACTACATAAACAAAAGAATACCACAATGAAGTGGATATTTATTGATATAAAAACCCATATCATAATAAACTTGGAGTTTATTCATAATTGCACACATCATGGTGTAACCTGAAGTTTATCAATACTGATAATTTATCCAGTTGGCATAATTGGTTTAGCCATGTTAATTCAAGTATGATGTGCAAAAATAAAAGAGAATTCACATGGGTAAATATTAAAGAACTAGAAAGTTCTTTACGAATTCTCTTACATTGCTTGTTCTCATTAATTAATAGACCAATTAAAATTGGGAATGAATCCCATGAATGCTGGAAGTATCAAAGGTGAATATGGGCCCATTCACCTGCCATGTATACCACATAAGATGCATCTATGAGATGGTTACATGTGCAATTATTATTGATCCGCAACTTGGTGTTTGCGAGGTAACTTGCTCAATAATTTAATATAGAGCATAATTTTCAGATTTTTTATTCAAGATAGTTCTTCTTGATAAGTTGGTTTACATCACAGTTGGTTTAGCAAAATGATTTATTGAGTGCCTCCACTTAATAGCTAAACTATTGCTTATGAGAACAAAGTTATCTATATCAGTTTGATATAGGTTATATACGAAAGTATATTACATTCTCCCCTCACAAGTGGTTCAGGGTCAGGAACCAAATAATTCCATCTTATTATTATTATTGATGTGCGGTGTATATTTTGATTAACACCATAATGCACAAAGATGGGTTCTCAAAGTTGAGGAAACAAGTTAGTTTTTCTAACATGAGGGGGAGACAAGATACAACAGTTGAGAAAAAGTTACATGGAATGAATTATCATTTATACAACTAGATCCTCGAATAAAATATATGAACTTGAAGTTCATAAAAGGATAATTCATGTGCAATTTATTGCAAAGCATGCCAGACGCATTTGCTGACCCAAAGAAAGTAACTATATTCTCATTGCAAATGCTCCTATTAGAATAAGTTCTAGAAGGACAAAGTCTATAGTACGCTTAAAGCATATAGACAAATCGGTTTCAAGTAAACTTCTTGATAAAGAAGATGGGCAAATGATCAAAATGATCATAATAAAGGAGGCAAGTGATCTAGAAGATCACATGACATAATACTTCATAAAATCTCAAGAGAGATTCAGCAAGAGCTTTCACCTCTATGTGAAGATATTGAACTGACGATTCCGACAAGATCATATGAAGACAATCCATCTCTATCAAGAATAATGATTTCAAGGTGCAATATATTCATTCAAGTTAATATGGCTGATTTGTTTATCAAATATCTATCAAAGATCTTTTGAAGATGGTGCACAAGATTGGAATGCAAATGCTTAAGGATGTGAAGTGATGCTCTCATGAGGGGGAGTTAATACGCGTTGTACTCTTTTTTCCTTACAAGGTTTTGTCCCACTGGGTTTTCCTTGCAAGGTTTTTAACGAGGCAACAAAAAGGCGTATTATTAGATATGTGTACTCTTTTTCCTTCTCTAGAATTTTTTTCCCACTGGGTTTTATTTTAGTTAAGGTTTTAACGAGGCACATTATCTGTTGAATAGACATTCAAGGGGGAGTGTTATAAATAGAATTTTATTTATGGTGAATGTCTATATTTAGAGAGATTCTAGGGTTTATTACTTGGTGGCTAAGTCACCCTCTCCCTATAAATAGAAGGTTCTATTCCATTGTAATTCAGCCAAAAATCAATAAGAATTCTCTCTCTACTCTTCTCTGTAATACTCTTCTTCTTC